TGATTGATGTACAGTATTTATTACCATTAGCGAAATTCATACTTCAGACAAATTCACAAACATACTTATATAGTAGCACTAATGACAATGTTATCATGTTCAAGAATAAAGTCAGAAATTTAAATCTTAATTTCATTGATGTGTGTATATTATTGATGCATATAATCTGTATCATCGTAATGTTACCGTTTTAGAACCACAATTATTCATATCCATTAACAACTTTCAACTATTCAGATTCTAAATGTATCGGTTAGTCATATATACATATAAGGTGGTTAGATGTGAGGAGTTGCACGTCTGGTTCTTGTCGTAGTCAGTGTTTACAACCATGATTTATTGATATATCTTAGCAGAATGATACTTCTATATATATTCTAAATAACGATTATCATTGTTACAATTCGAAACTCTACTTTACCATAATTGACTTGATGTACAAATTAGATGTTTAATAGATAATCATCAACCAGTATGAATTGTATTCCTGTTACTTCATATTGATCGACTTCAATTATTCGATATAAATGAAGTATCAGGAAAATCATGATTCACTACGAAAAGCTAACGCACTACAAGTTAATTAATGAAAGTCCTACTAACTCCAAGTACTATATATATATATACGACTGTCTATAGCACATGGCTCTCTTATTTAATAAGATATATATAAACACCACGATAACTATTCACTTTCAAGTGTTTGAATCTTCCCACTGGTAACGTTAAGCAATAAACTTCTAACCAATCTATTTATAGTATGTGTATTTTAATCTGATTACCCTAATATATATATATATATATATATATATATATATATATATATATTCTGCCACATATTCTTAATGATAGAATACGGTTATCAGTGCAACCCATGACGTGCATTTCCTCCTCTTTGAAACTCCGCTGGATGAACATACAACCTAAATATTGATACTCACATTCAAATCCACACGTTGAAGTCTTAGCTTCAATCATTTAACCCATCATCCACTGAAATACTGAATTCAATCAGCTATCAACCTATACCAACTACGATGTTTACTTAAATACTACAATGATTCATTGTATACAACTTTATTTAGTATTAAATTTAATGGTTTCATCATAAACATCTATTATATTGAATTTATGACCATAAATAAATAAATAGCATGTCTTAGATTCCACTTTCAGCCACTATCCATCTTTGCTTATAAATGTTTACATTTATTTACATGCATGAAGTTAGTTCATATTCAATGTTTAATTGTCTTTGAATGGTTTGTTTTTATTACGTGATTTATAATTGTTAATTGTTTACTACTTAATATACAATATAAGTAGTATAATTTATATTACTAAAATGTTTTAATAATAAGATTTCTATAATGCAGCTGTTTTTAAAACAAAAGATTTAGATCATAAAAATAATCATTTCTTTTAATTGTCTAATGTTTCCAACTGAATGGTTTATTTAAGTAGACATAACAACAACAACTTTCAAATGATTCCTATATGTTTGTTTATAACTTGTTTCATTATATGATGATTAATTTTAAACAAATATCGCTTTCATAAACAAAGATGTGTAATGGTTAGTAATCAAATCCAGGATGTACATTTCGTTCTATTTGGAACATATCGTCTGAATGTATCTGTATCCCAGAGTTAATGTTCACTCTGCGACTAGAACTCAGTGTGATGTGAGTTACTTATATCCACATAAGTAGTATATGGTGATGGTCAGACATGTATGCATGTATTTTGGTAGAAGATCGATAAGGAACGAATAAGAATGAAGCACAATCGGTATTGGAATGCATAAACAATAAAATCAGAGACGATGTACTGATATTTACAGAAGGAACAGTCATGATTGAGACAATTGATTGTTATTTTGCAAATTAGCGGTTTACTATATGGTTGTCAGAATTTAGTGAGATGGTCTGTAATTTCCGTGTAAAATACAATCGATTGTTTCTAGCCGTGTTCTTGTTCACTACTACACCATTCCCGTTTAACTAATGTAGGCCCCCATCTACTTTAGTGACCTACAATATGAATTTTGAGTTTAAATACATTTGATTGTTTTCAACTAGTGATCTTGTTCACTACAACTGTATTATTATTTAGTTGTAATGAATATCATACCTATTCATCATTAGATCTTTGTTCAATATGCCACTTTGTCAAGAAGATTCTTTCTAGATCATTAAGGTTTATTTAATATTAACTAGTTAACTATTCAGTTTTCACTAATAAAATTTCTAGCGTAATTACTTATAGTCAGTAGTACATTCATATAAAACTTTTGTGAAGTTTGTCTAAGCAACAAGCTTAACTCTGTGTTTGTTACCAAAAAAAAGATTGAGAATGTTCATGCATGATAATAAAATAAAATGAAATATGCAGAGATGGATAGTGGCTAGCAGTAGAATCCAAGACGCGCGTTTTGTCCTATTTGAGACTCGTCAGCTGGATGTACCTACATATCAGAGTCGATGTTCACTCAGGGACTTGAACCGAGTACCGTTGGCTTCAAACGCCATCGCGTTATCCATTCGGCCATTGAGTCCTGATAGCCTCTCGCTTGTGGAATGAGGTGAAGTTTAAATTCATTTAAGATTGTTTGTTTGAATCTTCTCATTGATATGTTAGGACTGCAACTGGTCTGTCTCTTATTGGCATATGTGCATACTGTGTGTATTGCATCGATAAAGCCTTAATTAAGGGAAGATTCAAACAAACAACACTAAATGAATTTAAAATGAAATATGTTTGTTGGGATGGATTTACACAAGTAGTTGAAATGAGTAGCATCATACATTCATGGTAAGTTCACAGAATAAAAGTTAAAGATAAAAACTGTACAGTCATTAACTCTCTCCCTATCTTTATATATATCTTATACAAATGGGAGAAATATAAACAGTATTCCGGTTACATTAAATCGGGTGTGTCTGAATTGTATTTCAAGTAGATGACCTTGACTTACTAATCATATGAGAAATAAAGGAAATAACTAACTTTCACTAATAATAATAATAAGGTTCCATCTCAAACTAAACTTTCCCAATTCAATCATCAACTATTATGCGATTTTGTCATATCCGACTGAAGAGTAAATGAATGGTAACTGTAAGAAACTCTTTATGTACTATCACTACATATATTCTAATTGGACAGTTGTTAGGTAATTAGATTATATGTGTATATTCATATTCTCTTTATCATAAGCTTTCATTTAGTCTATCGGCTATTGATGTAAGGTTTATTATTCTTAATTTATCCACAAAATATTCGTTACTGTATCCCACCTGTAGCTCCTCCGGGGGCTACTGCCGGTCTCAAGCCCGGGTAAAGGAGGAGGGTTGGGCTTGGGGTTAGCGACCCCATTCCGTAGAAAACTAACTCGCTAAAAAACGCTAACCAGAAAAATGCCGATTTTGAGACATTGAGAGTTAATTTGATGTTAGAAATGTAAGCGTTTTTGATGATAACTCAGTTATTTGATTATCTGATGTTTGCCGTCGAACTTGAAGATTACGGGCCATTATTTGGATTTGTTTTTGGATCCTCGCTGTTAAAGGATCTAATACTACTACATGACAGTGATCCATGATTTTCAATGATTGTTTAACTATGGTCAATCCACAATGTTATATCATAAAATTGTAGGGTCTAGTAAGTACTTTTCTATTCAGTTAGTTATGCAACTCATCAGTATAATGTCTTTCTGCACGAACAATCACAATAAATTAATCGATACTGGTATCTCTTGACGGTAAATATTACAAAAATGGACATTATGTAGGTATTGTGATTAATATGTGTTAGAATTTACAGAGGACATTGAATCTTGCAAGGTCAATCAAACGCTTAAACACAGAAACTTTGTTCATCTCGGTTACAAAGTTAACTAAGTTTATGAGAAACATTATAGTCTACTTAAACATAAAACAGACATGAAACCAGCAATCCCATATCTACCTTTTATGTACAATCTTAATGTTATAATATAATATGATTGGCAATTATATTATAGCTGATAGTATCCTTCCAGCGAACATTGAGTAGCTTACGTCAACAACTGACCGTAAATACTTGTACTTTTCTGATGATGATTGTATTGTAGTGAGCAGAACACTAGTTGGGGACAATCGAATGTATTTAAGCAAACATTACAGACTATCTCGGTAAATTCTGATTACCAAACAATGAACAGTCAATTTGCAAATTAACAACCAATTGTTTCAATCTTCACTGTTTCTTCTCTTATTCCATTGCTCATGCATTTTCCAAACGATTGCGCTTCATTTCAGTTCTTTCCTAATCGGTCTTCTGCGAAAATACATTCTATGTCTGACACACACCATATACTACTTATATGGATATAAGTAGACCACACTACAGTATTAGTTCTCCAATTCAATGAGTTTGGCATCTTTAGTTTTTCAAAAATTATGTCTTAATTAAGTTTGCCTACTTATGAGTAGTATGTTTTTTACGAATACGTTTTTCGAATTATAACCAAGCACATTCACCCGAAAAAAAATCATGTTTGACTTTTGATTAAAACAATAATATTTAGTGTTTTCTATATAATATAAATATATATGACTATGAAAGTAAAATGTGTGTGAATACATTTGTAAATTTCATATGTATTTGGAGTTTGAAAACACCTTAACCAGTAACACCTTCTATAATAGAAACGTGCTCGCCTAATGAAATCAGAATTCAGAAGCGAAGAGGTTCGAAGATATATTTGATAGACTAACAATGTATCAAGAAATGATTGATCTAAACTGACTAGTAGTCGTAAAAAAAGTTGATCATGTGATCTGATGCGGATAATTGGTCAAGCGTCTTCAACTACGTGATTCAATTTAAACTAAAGTGGTGAACATCAAAGTTCGAAGACTTACAGAGCTATTCATTTTAAGGATTTATTTACCACTACACATTTTCCTAAGTAATACAATCTCATTGTAAATCATTTTCTTCTTTTATTTAAGGTATCGTTCAAGTGAATCCACATACAAATTGAAGACAATGAATCTTATCAATCAAATTCTTCATACAATTTTATATCAGCTCATTGGAAGTTTAAGTTTAGCATCCTTATTAAGTTATTTTACATGGCCATTACTTCAATTATTATGTTTGTATAGAATTCTTAGTTATACAATAAAACATAAAAATGCATCAATCCTAAAATCGACATCGAAATGGGAACAGAAATTACAAAATTTTGAATGGCAAATTCATCATTTAGATTGTAATATATTTACATTAATTAGTAAGTTATTCTTTAACAAAACTATTTTGATAACTTGTTTATGATAGAAATATATTTTGAAGGGGTTTTGTGGAGATTTCAGTATTTTCATAGTTGAAAGCACGAGTCCATTGAAACTAGACCACCAAGGAAAACCTGGACGGCACTGGACGGCCGTTCGGTCCTATTGTGGGACATCTCAGCAGCTGGCATGCAATGGTGGATGCCAGCTGAGCGGTCTATCGGTTGAGTGTTCTAGCGCGAGACCGGTAGGTCCTGGGTTCGAATCTCGTGAGGCGAGATCGTGGATGCGCACTGCTGAGGAGTTCATCAGTAGGACGGAATGACCGTGCAGTGCTTCCGGGTTTTCCTTGGTGTTCTAGCTTCAATTGACTGATGTTTTCAACTATGAGAGTAATATATTCAGGTGAATAGCTTAATAGAAACTGTCAGCTATCTCTTTAGAAGTCAACATTCTTCAGACTGATATAGTTTATAATAATATCCTGTTATCATAATTACAGTTACCGTTTAAAGTAGTTATTTAGTTATTAGTTTTCTTGAGTATACATAAATGGAATTTATGTAACTATACGGATGATATATCTTTCGAGAAATCTTCCCAAAAAATCAATGTTGTTTTGTCTAAACGAGTAGTTGTTTAGGAAATAGTGGAAAAGATTTGTAGCTCAGGTAGATGATTTTGATGGAGTTTTGTTCGCTGAGTTGGATGGTTTGGTCGTGGAGCTTTCATCGTCCTTTTGAACAACATCATCAGCACAAACGTCGGGTATAAATAAACATACAAATTCATCTGCTAAAAACAAATAATCACAATGAAAAATTGTATTCAGTAAGATAATAATGATGTTTTATTCTCATTTGAAATCGCTGGATTAGACATCAGGCTGTCGAAAGAATGATCAAACTTGGTTATTATGTTATCATTTAACTAAGACTACATATAGCAGGTATGTGATGTATAAATATCCAAACTTGGAAACTAAACACAACCAAGTTTCGAATAAAAACCTTGTAAAGGTTTAGAAATATGATAAATCAATCCTCTGAATAAAAAGACAAAATTGTTGTTCGTCATTGTTAGAAAGGCTGAGGTTAACATTGAAGTCTGCTTCGCGGAAGATGGAATGTGCAAACATTATTCAAAAGTTCAATGATATTGCCTGAAGTCATAAGCGTTATAATTAAAGATGGATAGTGTTTAGCAGGGGCATCCAGGAAGCGTGTTTCGTTTTATTTGGGACTCATCAGCTGAATGTTTCTGCATATGACAGTTAATGTTCACTCAAGGATTCGAACTAAGTACCCTTTGCTCAAAATGTCATCGCGTTATTCACTTAGCCTTCCAGCCCAGGTAGTGGATAAGTTTGTGGATAACGTGATGGCGTTTAAAGCAAGTGGTACTAAGTTCCAGTCTTGGAATGAACATCAACTTTGTGATTCAGGTACATCCGGCTAACGAGTTATAAATAGAATGAAACGCACGTCCGGAATTCTACTGTTATCCACCGTCCATCCCTGCTTATAATGCTTTTGACTTCAGGCAATATCGAATCAGGATGCATACATGCCAATGAGAGACTAATCAATTACAGTCTCAAACACTAATGGGATGATTTAAATAACCAATACAAAAATGAATTTCATTATATGTTGATATTATTATTATTATTATTGTTATCAGCTTTATTCAATATCATATTTTTGGTACAACATAGAATCTTCAGTATAAAGTATTTCAACAAGTTTCCGTTTCTTACTTCTTCGTCCTTCCTGACGATCAATATTGAGTGATCGCCATTTAGAAGTTAGCAGCCCAGTCAATCGACATCTGGATAATGTACATTCTTGTAACTGCATATTGCCAGCAACCATGATATGTCTGATTAAGCCTTCTGTAACTTTTAAAGCGAAGGGCTTTACACTTTTCAGAAATGCACCTGTATAGGTTGTGCGATTATTAGCCATAATAATGTATTGAAACAAACAAATTTAGATAAATTGTTGAAATATCTAGATATTAGAAACAGGTAACCCAGGTATTTAAGCAGACCGCCAATGTTTATGTTATTTCATAATAATTTATAATATGTTACCCTGAATTATTGATTTTGGTTATCCCATTTCTAAATTTACCGTTTATCTCTATATACCTTTTTTCAACATCCAGATTATTAATGATAATATGTTGTTATATAAATCAATCTTAGCTTCATGAACGTAATCATCATTCGTCAACAGGGTGTTTCCGATAGTAATGATGCTCCATGTAACATTTAGACTTCTATAACTAGTGGTTACTACAAATTGCGTTGACAATGAGAAATGTAGCTCATTTAAAACCCTAATAATGACTGATTGTTAATAAGTGATTAGTGAAACTATATAACAAAAAGAACGTCGTACCTGAACTTTAAGTCACTTAAATTGATCCTCATAATAAAACCTGATGGAAAGAATTCAATAAACATTAAGAATGAGACTAAATGATCTTGTCTTTTGTAATCAGATCATTTAATTCAAGTTGCATCTTTAATTTTCTCTTTATCAATCAAACTTACAATACAGTTCTTGTACTCTCTTTGGTTCCTGTAGACTGAAAGCATCATAAACAGAATTCTCGTCATATTATTAATATTTTGGGAATCCAATAATAAACTGTATGTATGCGAAGATAGTCTGTTGATACATGGAGGCTTAAATATGTGAAAATGAGTTATTAGTGTTGAATCCAAAAGCACTTGAGAATATCTGAATATAAAAATAAATGGTTGAGAGGAATGAAGAAATGGAATCCAATAAGTAATACCGATTAATGTTTAGATAGAACAATTATTAAGTGAACTACTCACAATGTTGAGAGGTTAGAAAAGTCATTCAGAAATGATAAATTCCTTGAACTTCAATAGTTGTGATGAACATTTTTGTGAGCTTGCAATTAAAACCCGATATTTTAAATATAATCCAAATGTATGTTGAGGTTCTGAAACGTTTTATAAAAAGGCTATAAAACTTGGAAGTCTTCAGTTTACAAGCTGTTCGAGATTCTAGAGTTACAAACTAGACCTTAACATTCGTAAACTCAGCCCTATGCTTCTCATAATTTATATAACGTTGATAGTGATTATAAGACATTAAAACAGTTATATAACTAACGATCTATACCAACCCAGTTAATATAAGCGAAGATGGATAGTGGCTAGCAGTGGAATCCAGTTTGACGCGCGTTTCGTCCTATTTGGAAATCAAAGAAACAATAATAAGTGAATTCAAACTTCACCCCATTGCACAAGCAAGTAGCTATCAGGACTCAGTAGCTGAATGAATAACACGATAGCGTTTGAAGCGAAAGGTACGGGGTTCAAGTCCCAAAGTGAACATCAACTCAGAGATGCATGTACATCTAGCTGAAGAGTCCGAAATAGGATGAAACGCGCATCCTGGATTCCACTGCTAGCCACTATCCATCTCTGCTTATATTGCTTGTGAATTAAAGCAATCTCGAGGCAATACGCACAGTATGCACATATGCCATTAAGAGACTGACCATTTGCAGTCCTCAGCATCAACGGGAAGATTCAAACAAACAGTAGAAAGGGAATTTAACCTAGTTAATACTTTGTAAATAGTTATACTATTTGATAATGAATAGTAGTTCAAATGACGTTGTGCATTTATTAAACGTTAAGGTTTTAAAGTTGGATATTTATTTATGCTCGTCGGTATCTTTCTTCATATATGATGCCATCAATTATTAGTATGACTCCTAAAGAAAACAATAAATGATTAGGCTTTAGAATATTGCAGTTCCATCAAATTTATATAGTGCATTTTTCAAAGTTGAAATCATGAGTCAATTGAAGCTAGACCACCATCGATAACCTGGAATAACTGGACGGCCGTTTCGTCCTATTATGGGACTCCTTAGCAGTGCGCATCCACGAACCCGCTACCGCGAGATTCGATTATATTGTGTATGTTCATCTTACCTGTATACATCAATCAGAAATTGAAAACCTGAACTAACAAGAGGAAAATGAATGAAGTCATAAGTATTAGTATTGAAAATAGTAAACTACTAAACATATAGAATATAGTTTGAAAACAATGAATGAGTTCGAACAATATAATGTATAAAATAACAGCATTGTCACTGACAACCATCCCTGTAAGCTTAGGTCTTCAGAAGCTGGCCTGCCTCATACTTGATAAATGTCCCAGTCAGATCAGTCTGTAAAAGTTTGTAGCTTCACTAACGGACCTACTAACCAAACCTTATGTCATGTGAATATTGCTTAGTGTTTATTTGTTGATTCCACCAAACATCAATAATGTTTCTCAGTTATTGATAATTGAGTATTGACTATGTCTTCAACCTTCAAAAGTCATGATATACACCAATAAATTATATTAAACGAATATCTGTGCAATGTTATAACTCTCTTACAGAAAGATGAACAGTTTGCTTACTTCATAAATTGCACTAGAAGCCGGTTTTTCTCAATATCTCATTTGTTATTGTCTAGTTAAGTGTATTGAAATTTCGTGAAGATAAGTGAATCGATGAACTTGACTGATAGTTTCATTTCACGTCGTCTGATTAACATTTCAATCTTTCTTAAGGTAGAATTCTAAGTTTATAAACAACGATAGCATACTAAAGATATTTATCTTTATCAGAAGGAGTTTTGTGGAGATTTTAGTAGTTTTATAGAGTTGAGATCATGAATCAGTTGAAGCTAGACCACCATGGAAAACCTGGAATAACTGGACGGCCGTTTCGTCCTGTTGTGCGACTCCTCAGCAGTGCGCATACACGATCCCGCACTCTCGAGATTCGAACTCAGGACCTACCAGTCTCGCGCCAGAGCACTTAACCGATAGACCACTGATAGTCTAGCTACAACTAACTCATGATCTCAACTCTATAATGTTTGTCTTAATTAATTATGACCTTTAGAAGAATATATTACGTTAGTATCGTTAGCAAACTGATCTAT